TTAAAACCGCATTTGCCCCCTATGGTGCAACCGGGTGATTGCAAATCAGTTGCCAAGATAAAACAGCCCACAACCCACTGGTAGATGTGCACTCGTTTACTAGACCTCCGTGAATCACTAAGAATGATGCTCAGAAAGAAGATATTCGACAAAGAAAGCAAACTATATTGTATTTCTGAGTTGACCTATATTGCACACTATTATGTATTTTTGGGTCGACCAACACTCTCTTTATAGAGTGTTGTTGGTCACCTGAAAAGACACAAAAGTGTCGACACAGAGAAGAAGGGACACGAAAAAAAAAGGAAGAAAAGAACGTTTAAAAATGAACTTTGAAATTCAGAAGTCAAACTGTTTAAATCGGTCAAAACCAAAACGGTTCAAGCCGAGCCCCCCTCACATGCATATGAACATCTATAGTGCTTTCCTCCTATGGGTTCCACCTATAGAGAGAGCAAGTCTATAATTATACTCTAACTCGGCGCCCTTTTCAAGCAATGTGGGACAAGGAGTCTGCATTCAAAGGAGGGGAGAGAAAGTGACAAAAATAGAGAACACAAGGGAGTGAGGAGAGATTCTTGAAATTTTAAATCTTCCTCCAACAATACATCCATTTACATAAATCTATACTACTTTAAAAAGTACGAATGGCCTCAAGAATATTTTTGGAATTTTCTAAGGACAATATTTACCCCTCTATATTTAAATTTAATGATAAAAAATGAGGGCAAATAGGGTAATTGGTTCTTGATATTAAATGGGTTGAAAAGAGGTAATTTAAAGATATTTAATGCATTCAATCCTCTCTCATTAGATCTAGCATTTAAGTTATTAACTTGTATTCATGTTCATTGAATCATATATTTAAGTCATTTTTATTTCTTCTCATCATTAAGTTCTATTAATTAAATTCATAATTAATAAATTAATAATTCCAATAACATAAAAGCTTATACCTTTAAAATCTACATAACAAAATAGTGTTTTCATCTAAGTGGTGGTAAGAAATTAAATCATTTTGGGTCAAATGGGTAAATCCATGCTTCCATGATTAAATATTAAAATAAAAAAATAGAAATTAAAAAAAGTTGGAACATTTTTAACATACATATTAAACAATAATAAGTATGTTAAATAAGAAATGTTTTTATTAATGATGAAAATGGAATATAAAATTTAAAACCAATTGGAAATAAAAATATTTTCCTATTTTCTCTCATTAAATCCTATATTTAAAATATATTTTTTTTCATCATTAAATTCGTGTAATTAAATCTATAATATTAATTTTAATAGTATTAAAATAAATATTTTGAAAAGTAATTTGAAAACAAAACCATTTTCTTCCCTCCCGGTGGTGGGCAAGCAATTTGACCATTTGGGGTCAAATGGATTAATAATTAATGTCATAATTAAATAATAAAAAATTAAAATAAATAACTATGAAATGTAAGAAATATTTTTATTAATGATGAAAATGGAAAGCCAATTTCAAAATATACCTAGAAATTAAATGATGTCATATATAGTCAAATAATGAAATTTTTAATAATAGAAAATACAAAGAATCACAAAAAAAAAAGATAAATGAAATTTTTGGGTACATATCTAATGTTATATATTTATAAAAAATAAAATAATGGGTACATCTCTAATATTGTGCACTCATTATATTGAACAAAAAAAAATTTATACATAAGAAATAATTTTATCAATAATGGAAATGTAATACAAAATTTAATGTCAACCTAGAAATCAAACAATTTTTATTTTTAGATGGTGGGTTAGTGATTTGAGTAAAATGATATCATAGACAAATAAAAATTAAGTGTGATAAGTAAAAAAATATTTTATATAATATAAATGAAATATATAATTTAAAGGGAAAATTATAGTCAAAGTCGGTTGTACATTAAAAATTAGGTTGCAGGTTGGTCCAGAAACCAACCAAACTTTGAAAATCGGCTATACATTTCAAATTATAAAAACCCCCACAATGTCATTAGAGACTGATGTGGCTGTTGCCAACATGGGACTTTTATTCCATGTTGGACACAACAGAAAACCTATATCAAAAGTAGATTTTTAGTTTCTCTCCCACTCTCACAATGATTTCTCGACCTCCCTCCCTTCTCTCTCACTCTCATAGTGATATCTCGATCTCCCTCCCTTCTCTCTCACTCTCATAGTGATCTCTCGATCTCCCACTCCCTTTGTCTCTCCCACTCTTTCTGCTTCGGTCTGTAGCCAAATCAAAACCTCTCTATTGTTCTCCCTCAATCTTTTTTATTCTTCTCCCTCACTCTCCCTCTCAGTCAAAATCTCCTTCTCCCTCAATCTCTATTGTTATCCAATTAGTGTGAATTTCATAGCCAAGAGTTTCTTGTGAAATTTATCAAATTGGTGTAATAATTTTTGAACCATACCAAGTTGGTCTCATGTTCTTTTATATGATCTGATTAATACCATATAAGTGTGTAAGAAAATAAAAAACGAGAGAGGGAGAGGGAGAAAAACTGAGGGAGAATGATAGAAAATAAGGGAGAATGAGAGATCGACCGAGAAAGAGAATGAAAGAGATTGAGGGAGAACGATAGGTAAAGAGAGAGAGAGAGAGAGAGAGAATGAGAGAAATTGATATAGAGAACGTAAATACAAAAACCAAAAACCATTTTTATTTATTTTCAAATCACATAGTCGTTGAGCAGATAAAGATGACTATGAGCGAAAGAGTGTAAGGGAGATTGCGAGAGATAAAGAGAGAAACTAAAAACCCTTTTTTTTTAATTTTCCAATCACCCAACATTAAGGGACAATTTCAGTATAAGCTTTTTATTATGTCCAATATGGATTAAGAGCCCCATCTTGGCAATAGCCACATAACCCTCCGATGACATGACGATGATTTTTATAACTTGAAATATAGAGCCGTTTTGTTGGTTTATGAACCAATTTGTAACCAAATTTTAAATGCACAACCGGCTCCGACTATAATTTTCCCTAATTTAAAACTAATCCAAAAGCAATGTTATTTCTTATCTAGATGGTGGGTCAACGATCCAACTTTTAAAAAAAATGCATGATGTCATAATTGAATAATAAATATTTAAGTTTATTTTTAATCATATTGTTACTTTTTTTTAAATTTTCAATTTCTATCTTAACTATGATATATCTAAAATTCAAGTAATTAATATGAAGAAAAATTTCTCATGTGCAATGCATGTGCTTAATTAGTACATGAGATTTGCATCTTGGAAATCGGAGGCCATGGATCATTAGATTGTGTTTTGCAATTCAAAAAGCGATGATGCCAAGAAACAAATTATGCAACCCAAAATGACGCCAACATGGGTCAAGACGATGATGATGAGGTCAAGAAACATTCCAAATACAAAGAACTCTTCTCCTTTTCTTCTTATGCTGCAGTAGTCCCACTAAATCGGGGGAATCCGCAAGAAGTTCAATGGCGTCCTAACCAGGGCTTCCAATGCTGGATAACCATAATACGTTCTATTCCAAAATATTACCTTGTACTATGGATTCTTTTCTCATGATCTTTTATAAAGAAAATTAGACTACATTCAAATGGCATTTAGCAATTTTGGACTAAATTTGTAGTGGCACGTTTTAAAGTTTGGGTTGGGACAAACCCCTTATAAAGTACTAATATTTAATTTAATAAGGAGTTTATCCTAATAATTATTAATAAAACTTAGTAATAATTAAAATAGATTTATCTTATGATAATTGATAAAAGTTTAGAAATTTAGTTTCCTTAAAACGTTAATTAAAACGATTAAGAAATTTGTTGTTTTATAATTTAGGGCTTTTTACAAAAAAAAATTAATAAAGTTGGATGAATTTACAAAATCGATACGATTTAAAACATACTGCGAAAACATTCATCAGTAGATAAAGCAATTTTTTTGGCCAAATTGACCCTTCTTGAAATAGACGATAAGTTACCGTACATTGTCTTCCTCACGGAGCCAAGTCTACTGAAAGCACAAAATCAGGACATGTAGCTGCATCATTTGATGGAGGAGCTCTGGTGGATGACCTAACGTCGCTAACCCATCTTATTGTCTTATCTGGTTTCTTTCTCTATTGATATAAATTAGATGCTGTCTTATAGGAACAAGTATTGCTGGTCTTTAAATGCTTTTTCTACGATGGACATGAGATCATTTGACAGGGAGACCCCGGTTTTACCTTGGTCGTCTTGCTCCTGTCCTGGTACACACAACGGAACGCCATGTCGTCGGCTCTGCAGTGGGTCCTCACGACATGGAGGAGCTTGTATTTCGCCTGGCGCCTGTCTAAGACTCTGAGGACTTGTTCGACAGTAGAGCCGCAGATCCACACACAAAACAGACAGTTAAGTATCAGCATTGATTTCTTTGTTTCCGAAGAAGTACCAGTTCTCGGTGTTCTCAGGTGTTGCTGTGAATCTGGAGCATGTCCTTAGCCAAGTCAATGGTGATCACCCCAGAATTGCATCTCCATTCCACCCAAGTTAAAGCTCTTAATATTACCTCTTAGATAGCGAGGGGATGGCCATTCTCTTGAACGGGAGAATGTCATTCCAGTAGGAATTTCCATTCTACCCGATCAAATAGATCCTTATTCCCGTGAACCAAATGAGACCTTAAATTTATTAATCAATCGGTTGTATTTATCAAAATTCACATCGGTCAAAATTATTCCCATATTATATCTTTTCCGTACAACATATATCTTCTTTTCTAAATTTATTAAATTTTATTAATTTTTTGTAAAAAGTTTTGTCTATTTAAATTTGATTAAATTAGGATATCCAATTTTTCTTAATGGATTCAGATTCGAATCATCATATGTGAATATGATCCGATCGGATTCGGACCCCAATTTATACTTTAAACTTTAAAGTCGAATCCATACTAATGTCATAGACCGGGCCCGGGCTACAGCGCTTAATATTATAATATAGGTGATATCCCCGGCCAGGTCCTGGCCCCGGCCCATAATCACCCCCTAGCCGTAAAAACCTCATAAACCCTCGCAAAGACGCAAACCGTCAGAGCTTCAGAATTTTGAAGAGAATGGAGAACTCGAAACAGAAATCGGTGCCGGTTTTGCCATGGATGAGAAGCCCTATCGACGTCAGTCTCTTTGAAGAATGCCCTCTGAACCTCCTGCCATGTCTCGATCCCAGGTATTTTGTTTACTCATTACACCAGTCTCAGGTCAGCAATCCCTCTGATGCTATGATTTGTGTATGTGTTTGTTTCTTCAGGCTTGAGGAGGCCTTGCTGAAAATGGGTGTTAGTTCACTTTTCCCAGTCCAGGTCGCAGTTTGGCAAGAGACGATAGGACCTGGTGCTTTTGAGCGAGACCTTTGTATAAATTCACCGACGGGAAGTGGAAAGACTCTTGCTTATGCTTTGCCTATAGTCCAGATGCTCTCTGCTCGTACAGTAAAATGCTTACGTGCTTTGGTGGTGCTGCCCACTCGTGATTTGGCCTTGCAGGTTCATATTCAATTCTTATTGTAATTTATTATTTCATATTTACTTTGTCTTCTATTTTAGGTACTTAGATTGCTTTTTGAGAAATGGTGAAATGTATATTAATAATATACAGAAAGAGAAGCTGTTGAGGGAGAGATTTCCTCAAACAGCAACACAGAGAATAGCCAAAAGGCTCCTTCTACAATACATAATTTTCATCCCATATTATCGAGTTCCATTGTTCTACGAAAACCTTAAAAGTTGCATCCCTTAAATAGGCTGTTGATGGAAGCCCATTTCATCAGAGTTCTCTCCACCATTGCACATACTTTCTCAGGGGGATTGGCCCTATCTTAAAAAATGTGGATGTTTCTTTCTTTCCATAGACACCAACTAACCACCAACGGTATTGCTTTCCATAACACTTTTCCTTTTTTTAGAAAAGGCCTGAGATTGCCAACGAGCCATAAGGGAAGCCAGATCCGGAGGTGTGACCCAATTCAGGCCAAACAACTTTAGAACATGGGTCCAATTTTGTGAAAGAAGCTGCAAAGAATTAGCAAGTGGTTCACAGTCTCCTCATCTGCTTCACACAAGCAGCAGCGGTTCACCACAATCATGCCCTTTCCACTCAGAACATCCAAAGTGGGGATTTTTTTTTTTTCTTTTATATCCACTCACATAAAAAACTGCACTTTTTATGGAGTTGATGTTTTCCACATCCATATCCAAGGAGGGTTAGGTTCTTCAGTTGATAGTGAAGTTTTTAGCATTGACTTCACAGTGAAGGTCCCTGAATTTTCTTTCTTCCATCTGATTTTGTCTGTCTCCAAAGGATTAGCCTTGGCTTTGACCAATGTAGTCAACAGGCCTAAAAGGGATTCCATCTCCCAATCGTTAACTTCCCTCCTAAGCCTTGGTACCCAGATTGGATGGTTATTAGAATATTCAAGATAGTCACACACCCTTGCTCCTTTGTTGACTGCCAGCTTGAAGATAGAGGGGAATTCCAAGCTGAGGGGGTTACTGCTACACCAGTTATCCTTCTAGAAACAAATTCTTTCACCTGACCCAAGTTCGAAAAATATGTGTTTGAAAAACTCATCTCTATTCTGCATGATACTTCTCCAAATACTAGTCCCATAGGGAGCATTGGGACTTCCAGATTCCCACCCTAAAGATAGAGGTGTAATTGTGTAAAGTGGGCACATTGGAACTTCCAGATTCCCACCCTAATGATAGAGGTGTAATTGTGTAAAGTGGGCCATGCCGGGTTGGCACGACACAGCTCGTGGGTGGCCCGTGCAAAGTGCGCGCCGTGTCGTGCTAGCCCGCGGGCCGTGCCACCCTCCCCAGTGAAAAATTTGGGGGTCGGCCCAGCACGGCCCACGGCCCAGGCCCAGGCCCAGGCCTGTGCCATGCAATGCCGTGTCGTGGGCCGGGCTGGCCCGTGGGCCGAGCCTTGGGCCAGGTCGAGCCGTGCATTGGGCCAAAGCTATTTATTTAAAAAAATGATAAAAAGCTTAAAATTTTATTTTTATATGAATTTTGTGTATACAATTGCATATATATAAAATAGTTAAATAAATTAGTATAATAAAATTTTAAAAATTATTTATTTTATTAGTATATTATAATATAATTATAATTTATATAATATTATATAAATATATAATATATAAATATATATAAAATATGTATAAAATATATATGTGGGCCGTGCTGGCCCGCAGGCCGCGGGCGGCACAGCTCGCTCAGTCGTGCCGTGCGGGCCCGTGGACCTAAAACCCCAGGCCTAGCACGGCCCGCATGATCGTGCTGGGTCTGGCACGGCGCGGGCGGCACGACCCGATTTACACCTCTACCTAAAGAGGCTTCCTCGTATTTGTCCTTGACAACAGTTTTCCATAGCTAATTCCTTTCTGTGGCAAATATCCAAAGCCACTTGGTTAACAAGGCTGTATTTGTTTGAGAGAAAGGTTTGATACCTAAACCACCTTTCTTCTTGGGTTTACATTACTTCGGACCACGCCACCAAGTGAAGTTTTCTCTTTTATTCTGAATCACCCCAGAGAAAATCTCTCTTTAACCTCTCAATGCAATTAGTCACTGATGTTGGAGCCTTATAAATGGGCATGACATACGTGGGCAGACTTGATAGAACACTCTTGATCATCGTGATTCTTCCTCCTTTTGATAAATACACCTTTTTCCAGCTAGCCAACTTATGATTAATTCTTTCAATGATTGGATCCCAGATCTCTTTTGCCTTATAGTGAGCTCCATGGGGAAGCCCAACAAATTTTGAAGGCAGCTGAGCTATTCCACAGCCCAGAACAACAGCTAATTCAGAAATGTGTGGGACTTCACCAACTGGAATGATGGTTGTCTTTTTGTTTTTGCAAATTGACTTTCAACCCAGACACTGCTTCAAAGCAAATCAGTAGGCATCTTAGGAAATACAGGTCTCTACAGCTAGCCCTTGAGAAAATTAGAGTCATCTGCAAGTTGTAGGAGAGTAATTTGATTACTACTCTCCGAGATTGTAAAACCTTCCAAGTGGCTTCCTGGCACTGCCCTTTCGACCATTCTACTTAAGGCTTCTACCACCAGAATGAATAAAAAGGGGGATAGGGGATCCCCTTGTCGTAAACTTCTACTCACGGGGAAGAAGCCTCTCAGTCTTCCATTTACCAAAATTGATATTTTAGCCACCTTCATACAGCTTCTAACCCAAGCTCTCCATTTAGCGTTGTAGCCCATTCTTCTAAGAAAATACTCCACAAAGTCCCAATGTACATGGTCGTACGCCTTCTCTAAGTCCAGTTTACAAATTACCCCTGGAATACCTGATTTGATTCTAGAATCAATACATTCATTTGCAATTAGAGCCCCATCTAGGATCTGTCTACCATCCACAAATGCCCCTCGAGAGGGGATATTAACTGAGAGAGGGTGAGCCTCAATCTGTTGGCTAATACCTTGGCTATCAGTTTGTATATGCTGCTGATTAGGCTTATCGGTCTATAATCTTTCAGGTCCTCCACACCATTTTTCTTGGGGGCAAGGGTCACAAAGGTGGCTTTCACTACATCCATTATTTCAGCTGATGAGTGAAATTCTGAAAACACTGCTATCACATCAAGTTTAAGGAAGGGCCATCATTTCTTGTAAAATTCAATTGGGAATCCATCTGGTCCCGGAGCTTTGTCTCCAAATAGGTCATTTATAGCCTGCCAAATTTCCTCTTCAGTAAATGGAGCTTCTATGATTAGAAATCTGGGGGAATTCCAAACCATCCAAGCTGAGTTTTTCCAATTCTTTTGTTGAAAAGAGCTCTTTGTAGAATTTCACAATAGCCTCTGCGACTTCCTTGTCACCTTTGTAGTGATTCTCCCCAATGTTGATTTGATTGATGGTATTAAGTCTCCTTCTAGTGCTTGCCACCTTGTGGAAAAAGTTGTATTGTTGTCTCCCTCTCTTAACCATTGTACTCTTGATCTTTTTTTTGGGAGAATGACGGTTCAGCCCAGGGTTAGAATTTGTAGGCCCAAAGTACTGTTGGGGTAGGTGCCAGCTCGGAATTGATGCCAATTCATGGGTGGCGTTGGTGCATAGAGTGTGGGTTGTTGACATTTTGAATGTTTATAACTCTGCAGTGGAAATCAGAAATCTGCATTGGGCCTGTCC